TGCTCAGATATAACAAGATAGCAAAAATAATGAAAGTCTCAGTATTTGTAATAATAATATATTTGAAAACGTTTAAAAATTCCTCGAATATTTCATTACGGTACGGGAAGTTCCAGCAATTTGCCTTAAGGCACGATGCCATACACCACTAGTTTGTAATTTATATTATTTTTGTATGACATATGGATAGAATAGAAAAGAATAATGTATGAGTTGAGTAGATTATATATTGTGAAAGACAAATACTGACATATAGAGATGAATATTGTAGAGAGTGTAATTAGAGACAATAAACGAGTATTCAGAGATGAAGTAATTAGGAATGATTTTTTTTTTACCTCTCTGCCCCATTGTTGTTCCTGTGCAGGTGGCAGCAAACCTGCCAGGTATGCCAGGGCACTGGCCCTGGTTCTAGGATATTCTGTAGTAAATGTCCTTACAGTTTCATAAGTTGGCATATTGAAAACTCCTTGAAATAGGTCACTGTATTTACTTCGGACTGCTTCTCCAAGTTTGAACATGTGCAGGACACCATCCTAAGGGAAATTTAATGAAATATTTTTTATGCAAAACTTTGATTAAAGGATTCATGATATTTAACTATAATTCAGCAACTGATATGATTTCTGGTTTGCAAGTTGTTTTGTTAGTTGAAAATTATCTAATGGTACTTTATTATTTTTTGTATTTACTTTATTTACCTTGATTGTCTCAGTAGTTTTCAACTACTAATATCAAGGACGTTACATTTTCAATCAATTTTTTCTAAATTAATATATCTATTGTTTTTCGACTTACATTGGTTAAATGTCCTTTTCCAATAGGGTACCAAGTTTTATTAACATTGTCATAATTGGGAAAAGCATTCATTTCCAAATCATCAGGAGTACGGTCTCCATGTCTGTACATCTATAAAAAAGAATTCATTTTTATATGGTTAATTAATATATTAATTAATTTAAATACCGATTGATAGTATTTTCTTAATTTATTAAACTTGGACGAGAAATTTTGCAATTTTTTGCTAATTTTAATTCACATAAACATAAACTTCTGCTTCGGAAAGTTGATAAAGATTTATTATTTGAAATACAAATAATAATTTTACTTTCATTTAATGAGTCGTTTTATTTCGGTTGTTATATATTACACATATATAATATTCACATTTCCAATTTGAAAAGTTGGATTAAAATATGCGTTAATTTTATTCCAAAGAAGTGAATTTTAAAAATCATTTTAAACTTATAAAATTTAAATTTGTTTCGTATATATATATGTATATTACACTTAATTTATATTTTTATCATTGATTAATAAATTCTATAATATTCGTTCACACAGTGGATTATGTTAAACAACGTCTAAACAAATTACTCATCATGTAATTGTGTTTCGAAGAACTTCATGTAATTAAAATTAATACATTCATTGACTGCGTGTATTTTTTTTACTTTTTCGCTGTCGATATAATCTCATTCTTTGAACAGCTCTAATATCTGCCTTGCCTAAAAAAAATTTTCCATTTCAATAACTTCGAAGATTTATAGAAAAAATTACGAATAATATAAAAATAATTTCTAATCAATAAACTTGCGTTAAATTGTTTAATTAATTTTCTTATTATTAATTTATTTTATTATTTTCAAGGAACAGGGTAAAATATTTTTCTGATTCAGACATTTTTCATTAAATCAAGATTTGTACTACGATGTATCTTTATAATGTTTATTTATCTATGCCGATTTCCTTGTTGATATCGGTACGCATACAACGTTGATGCCGTTACCCATAAAACAACAGATCTCTATTCACATACACGACGTCTAATCACAATCGACCCGTATAGAAATGATATCATCGAGAGCGAATGACGAATCATTGGCACTTGACCCTTATCTTTTCTTGTCTGCCGTAACGCACTTCCGTTGCATTCGTACGGATTTACACCCTAGTTGCGCCTAAAGAAGTTTTACTTCAAAAATAATTTCTCATATATATTTTAATTTTTTTTTGCTTACCAAATGTACTAATTTAATAGTCGTAGAACGTCTAGCACTCCGTCCATGAACTTGTAAACTAAAACTATAAACTACAACTAAAATTAATAGCAATATTCTCATTTTTAATTATCTATAAGTTCACTTATATTTAAATCGACATATTATCCGAACAATTTCCCATTTCGAGTATTTATACTAAGAATTTTTATCTCCTAGATAATATAATTATGATCTTATCGTCGTCCGAGATTTGGAGATCTGAGTTATTCAAATATAAATTAAGCCTAGTAGAATAATTTTGTATTATGCATAATTTTTAATTTTATGGAAAAATCTGGGTCGTTTTGTATTGTTATCCTTGAGCTAGATGCAGGTTCTGAAAATTTTTGTTAATCCACGGATTTGTAGTGAATGAATGAAATGATGGAAATAACACTGTGTTCTCATGGCCTAATTTTAAATTTAAATCATATGAGATATTTTTAATAGTAATAATAGATTTCAGTTATATTACCCACATATAGTTGGCTTATTATTAACAATTACCAAATTAATTATTTAATTTAATTTAATATTTTATTTTTTTGTACATGCTACTCCTTGAGCATCCATATCCTATATAGAATCCACTCATTTATAATATACGATTTCCTAATTAAATTGCATTACAATTTAATACTGGAATAAATGCAATTAAATAAGTTTTACACAGAGTTCAATGAAAAACAAAGAATAATATTCAATTTTTTATTCATAATATGGTCAACTGTAGAATACACTAATATTTTAAAGCATATCAATAAAAAATACAAATATTTAGATAAATTATACAATATTTTAAGATAAGACTAAACTTGGCATTTTTTGTTATCCTTTGTAATATCGCCTGGTGCTGAACCAGTATTGATACCAGGTACAACCTTTACAACCATTCAAATGCAGTTGTTGAGGTTTTTCTTCATCAGGATCCCAATATAAGAGCTTTAAATAAAAACATGTCAGTTGAATATTCGATACACATGTTGTATCAAGTATGTATGTATTCATAATTTATAATTGAGATATCTATCGAAAATTCTGCTCATATTATGATTTGTTTCATATTATGCTCATATTATGAGTGTTTATATTTTTTTTAAATGTATATTTATGTTCATTTAGATTTTTATATGTTTTCTACTACCTTAAAGTATTTATCTCTCGATTTGCTTTCAGTATGTAATTCTCCTATAATCATTGCTCCATGTTTTGGCCATCCCAGGGGTTTATCTTCACCACAAATTTTATAATTGTCTTTACCCCCTAATCCTGCAACTATTGCTGCAAAACTCATTTCTTCGGCAGCAAATATTCTCATAATATGGCCACCACGTTGACGGCGAATATTATCGAATGAATCAACAAATTCTTTCACATATTTACCTAATAATAATTTAAAATATCATATACTATAGGAAAAACTAGATTTTTTAAAATTTAATAATACCAGCAGAAATTTGCTTCAGTTCAACTGTTTTGGAGAATGTTCTTATATAAGTGTCCACATATTCCTTCATATCTAACAAATCATCATATGTCAACCAATTTGGAAGTTCTTTGTTATCATTTTTTCTGGTTGGAATTGAAAAAGCTGTATTATTAATTAAGACACTTATACGTGTTCAATTAAAATATATAAGTAATTAATATTACTTACTAAAGATAGAAAATGATTATACACTTTCCACATATCATCATCTTTAACCTGTGGCACTTTTGCTTGTACTTTGCTTTTTAATGCAGAATACTTTGTATTTTCACCATCAAAGTATGTTTTCACACTTTGGGAGAATATTTGTTTGCATTGATTATCATTATAGAAAGCCTTTAACTGCAATATAAACATTAATTAATTTATTTATTTATTCATAAGCAAGCCGTAATCAATAATAATAGATATTATTTCAGGCTCTTGTCAACACTATTATTATCGATATTTTTGATATTTGATTTTGAGACATATTTTTTTACTTACTGATTTTTCGTAAAATTCATGAATTTTAGTTTTATTATCTGCTGAGTCCCACTCCTTCTCTGAACTTTCTTTGCGGGGCTGAAAAAATTAAAGAACGGACTAAATAAAATTTGGTAAAAATAAGCATCACAGACTTTATCATATTTTATAAGAAGATACCTGACCAAGGAATCCAGCTTGAAGTAAATTTGCACTCAGAAGAGATCTTGGGTTGTCCATGGCCGTAACATTGATATTGTTTCTATCGTGAATTCCATCAAGAATTTTTAAATAATGTCTTTTCAACCTAGCACCCATTATATACATTTGCTCTTTTCCTCTCTAATAGAAAAGTGTATAAATATTACGAAAAATCAAATTTAGCGTGTGTTTGATTAATGTTCTATAAATATACTAACACTAGTTAAGTGGCCTTTTACATTGTTATCATTTACTGTTTTTTGCAATTCTTGAATATTTTTATAAAATTCAGGTAATGGCTCATGCTTCCCAGTATTAGCTACCTAAAAATAATCCAAATATAATCCCTATTATTATATAAATTTATTTTATAAAATATTTAACTTTATATTTACCACATAAACTGCAGATAGAAAACCTTCACGCATTTGTGCATTTGTTAAATCAGCTAAGGCAAATATTAAAAATAAAAAACAACTTGCTTTCATTATAAATGAATTTATTTATTCATAGGCAAACTGTAATTAATAAAACTAAATATTATACCAGGCGCTTTTGAAGCTTCAAAAAGTCCAAGTTCAAGATATATATTTAAATATTAATAACTAAATAATATTATGTTTGTTTACCGAAATTTTGAAAAACGTTGTGAAATTTATTTGGATTCCGAAATTGTTGTTGTCAAATTTTTTGGTATTCGAAAATAAAACACGAAATTAAAGTTGTTTTGGAAATAAAATTAACATTTAGTTATTTCTTAATATTTACATATAGTAATAAATTATTTGTTTACAAAATTGTAATTATTTGTTATTCAAGGGTACTCCACAATTTTCTAGTTCCCTATTTTTAATGATTATCCCTCCAAGGAGTTGTTGAAATTGATCCAAGGGGCAACCCTCATTACAATATTTGTATTTTAATTCTTGAGGAGCATCTGATCCAAAATTCCAAAACAAAACCTAAAAAATAAAATATAATAAAAAAAAAAATTATGACCTTTTTATGTGGTCTCATTTTTACCTTGACATAATGTTTCGACCCGTCATGGTTTTTATGCAGTTCTAATATTAAGGCATCACCAGGTTTAGGGACTACTGCAAAATCTTCTCCACATTTAGTACTTGCTGTTGTTTTGGCTGATGTTAATGCTGAAATTGAGGCAGCGACTATAATTTCTGAAGCACACAATAATTCTAACCTTGGTTCATTATTGTTCCTTTCAGTAGATTTTTGCTGGAACTTATCCAATACCATATTAGCGTATACACCTATTTTAATAGAAATATACATGAGCAAAAAATAAATTACGTGAATATTTATTTTATTGGTAAAAATGCTTTTTTGATTTTCGAATAAGTTCTACCAAAAATATATGATGAATCAATGATGACTTAACGAAATTCACACCTTATACGAGGTGTGTTCAAAAAGTACCCGGAATTTTTAAATTTCGCGGGTCTGGAGTGTCTGATTGTCAAAATTTTTTATTGTGTTGGTATACATGCCCCTAAAGTATGATGAAATTTTCAGCTATATTCACTGTTTACTTTGTCTGTGGTAGTCGCTAAGGTTCGACGTGTTTTCTGAGCTCGGCGATTTTTACAATGGAAGAATTGAAAAGTCAAAGAATTTGTATTAAATTTTGCGTAAAAAATGAAATAAAGTGTAACAAAGTGTGTGAAATGTTACAAAAAGCCTATGGTGAGTCTGCTATGAAAAAAACAAGTTTCCAAGATGGCCGCGAAGGCGTTGAAGATGACGAACGCTCCGGTCGACCCAGCACGTCAACAAACGATGAAAATGTGAAAGAAGTGGAAAAAATGGTTATGAATGATCGCCGAATCACAATTAGAGAAGTTGCTGATGAAGTTGGCATATCAATTGGCTCATGTCATAACATTTTTTCAAATGTTTTGGGCATGAAACGAGTGGCAGCAAAATTCATTCCAAAACTGCTAAATTTTGACCAAAAAAGCAATCGCATGAACATCGCTCAAGAGCTGTTAAATGACGTCAACAACGATCCAAGTTTGCTTGAAAGGGTCATAACTGGTGATGAAACATGGGTGTACGGTTATGATGTCGAAACCAAAGCCCAATCGTCCCAATGGAAGAGCCCAGGTGAGCCAAGACCGAAAAAAGCACGTCAAGTTCGATCGAATGTCAAGGTTTTGCTTACTGTTTTCTTTGATTATAACGGCATAGTGCATCAAGAGTTCTTACCACAAGGTCGTACGGTTAATAAGGAGTATTACCTTGAAGTGATGCGACGTTTGCGTGAAGCAATCCGAAAAAAACGCTCCGATTTATGGAAAAACAATTCATGGCTGTTGCACCACGATAACGCACCTGCTCACTCGTCGTTGCTTGTTCGTAATTTTTTGGCCAAAAACAATACCGTAGTCATGCCCCAACCTCCATATTCACCAGATATGGCTCCGTGTGACTTTTTCCTATTCCCAAAGTTGAAGAGACCCATGAAAGGACGGCGGTTTTCCTCGATTGAAGAAATAAAGGCCGAATCGCCGAGAGTGTTCAAGGACATATCAAAAAGTGAATATCAAGGGTGCTTCGAAAATTGGAAAAAACGCTGGCATAAGTGTATTATATCTGGGGGGGACTACTTTGAAGGGGACCACATTAATGTAGACGAATAAATAAATATTTTTTTGAAAAAACGAAAATTCCGGAAACTTTTTGAACAGACCTCGTATTAATAATATAATTAAAATAATTGAACTAGTACAAAATTAGCCTTTAAAGACATTTTTTTCGTTATTCAGTAAATTATTTATACCTCCTGAAATCTGTGTGATGTAACTACCGGAAAATAAAATCTTCATGAATAATCTGTCACTGTCATCCATGTCTAATAACATATCTTCTGTTAGCCATTCTGGCAATTCTTGACCAGAAAAACGCTGTAATTAATTATTCTTATATATATCTTAATATGTGATATTTAATATTTTATACAGTTCTTGTTCTTACCATGCTTTTATAATAATCATTTATTTTCCACATATGTTGTGGTTGAATTCCTCCACGTGACACTTTCAAATTTTCGGCTATTTTATTTCTGGTACCATAATAAGGGCGAAAGGATGAAAAATTATTCCCTATATTTTGCTGCAACGACCAGGGCATTCTGCATTCATTATCATTACTGTAGAAGTAACTTAACTGAAAAATAACATCATTTATTTGTAGAGCATCCTTTATTTTTCATTATTCAAAATTTAATTGTTACTAACAAGAGTGTCATTTATAGTTGTCATTGAACTTGATGATGAATGCTTTCCATCTATGCTTTTCTTGAAATCCTTAAGTTAAATTAGAATAAATTTAGTTGATGGTATTAAAAAATTGTAAACAAAATTAGTAAACTTGCATGTTTAAAAATTCCATCTGCAACCAATTTAGCACTTTCTTCACAAGCTTTGTGTTTTGTGGATTCAATGTGTACTTGATTTTTGTTGGTTTCTTGGTTGTTTGTGCCAAATATTTGTTTTTGATACCATCTTCTCAGTTTGATACCAAAAGTATACATATCTTCTTTTCCTTCCTAAATATATGAGAAATTTTATTTATTGTAGTTAAAATTTAGGTTTACAATTTATGTTACCTGTGCTAAATCGTTAACATTGTACGGCTCCAACTCGAATTTACCTCTTCGTTTAAGAAATTCAAAAAATGTAGTATTATCTATAGGTGGTTGTTTACCATTTCGAAATATCTAGAGAAAATATAAACGATGTTTAAGTAAATCTTGCTTATGACTTCTAAATTTTAATAAATCTTACCACTTTTGCTAACAACAATGTAGTATTTGATGGTACATTGTCTTTTGCTCGCACTAAACCAAAAATAAATATTAAAGTCACAAGAAAATTCATTATTAAAAATAGCCGATTTAGATTCTTTTTTTACAATTTTCGTTTTAAATTCCTAATGATATTTTATATTATTATCGTACACTGTTTTTGTAACAAATAACGACTAATATCGACTTGTAGAAAATTTGTTATTAATTATATGTTACGAAATGTTTACGTGTATTATATTGAATACAGTTATAGTTTTTACTCTATCTTCACTATTTATAAATACTTTTCCTATTTTCCTGTTTTTTTTCGGTTCTTGAATAATTATTTAAAAATTGTATGTATATGTACAAGAAGGTACTCTACTTGTACTTGCTTGGAAGTGAATGTTAAATAAGTTATGAATGGTTCTTTTCTTTGAATTTTTATATTTTAGTTATATAAAATAATTTGCCATTATTCTAAACAAGTAAAGAATATACACAAACTAGTAATCTTTTTGGGACATTTATTTAAAATATATACATTGGTATTGGATAAATATATTTAATGCAAAATTTATATTTCAAAATTATACGAGGTGCAAAAAATAACCAAAAAAAAAAACAAAAATTTAATTTGCGAGCAAATTTATTTATTAAAACAAAATGTGAAGAGTAATTCTTATACAATGGAATTTCTCTTGACTAGAGCTTGTATTAGGGATTTTTGTTGTCATAGTTAATCATAAAAAAGTTGGAAAATTATATTAAATCTTGTTATTACAATAACAATATAATAATTTAATCAATAGGTTTTCCGCAACCATCCAAGTATTCATAATCAGATGTAGTAGCATCTTTCAGCATTTTCTCAAAATTTTCCAAAGTGCATCCATTTTTACATGAATTATTTTTTATTTCTTTTGGTTCATCTGCATTAGAGTTCCAATGTAAAACCTACAATAAATCATATTTAAAAAAATTAAGAAGAACTACAATTAAATTATTGACATGGGACATATTTACGTAATAAATAAAATAAGTAAAAAGACAGTCAATAAATGAGGATAATAAATAAAAAAAATAAATGAGGAAATTCACTCTCAACATTTTCTAGTTGGTGGATTATTTTTTTAATACTTACGAGATTATTACATTTAATTAGTTTTTTTTTTAATAGTCGACTTACTTTGACATAATGTTGTTTTTGGCGTTCATGTAGTTCTACAATTATTGCTGTCCCATGTTTTGGTACTATCATGTCGAATTTATTTCCACAAATATTACTTTCTGGGTAAGTTAAAGTAGCAATAACTGCAGCAACTATTAATTCATCAGCACACAATAATTGAAGATGATGTTGACCATTTTGTTTTGAATTTTTCTTTATTTTCTTGAATTCCTCTAAAATACTATTTGTATAGGAACCTGATATAAATGAAGTAAATATATTAGATATCATATGTTACAATATTCAGGTTGCTTATACAAAGGATTTGTACTTGGATAGCAAAAATTTAGGAAACAATATTAAAATATTAAAATATATTTATTACCTGCTGATAGTTTTCTGGCATATGCATATTTGAATAAGAATTGCATTAATAATTTATTGCTTTCTTCCATATCTAACATCATAGATTCAGTTAACCAATTTGGTAAATCTTTACCTCCAAAACGCTGTATAGATATAAATTTATGGGTTACTATTTTTAGTTTATAAGGTACAATTGTATAATTTTTTTTTGACTTACCAGGGCTTGATAATATTCATACATTTTCCACATATGCTGGGGTTTTATGGGATGAGAATCATGGGATAATCTTAAATATGGATTATCAGGTTGTTTAAGATCAAGATTATTTCCTAATGTGTCTCTTGTGTTGTAAAATGGTCTGAATTTAAGAAAGTCACGTTTAACATCCTCAAGCATTTCTTTAAAAGGTTCACAAGTATTATTTCCATATATTTGGTTAAACTATAATAAATAAATAAATAGAAAATGTATGTTTAATAATATAGATTTTATCTAAATTTTATTTAATGCTTACCGAATTATCAGCTGGAGATATTTCAGATGCTGTTGAATTTTTTTTATATTCCTAAAATATAGAGATATTATATGAAGACATCAGATTTGCACATTTTGATTTGGTCTTTAAGTTAATTAGTTTACAAACTACTTATAAATTTAAATTTTTTAGCGAGAATAATATCTGACTTAGATCATTTTTATTATTTTTGAATCAAATCATATTTCAATACCTTTTTCAGTAATCCTGCTTTAACTAAAGAGGCACTTTTTTACAACTTTCTTGAGATATTGATTCAATTTTTATTTTATTTTCTCGTGGATCTTGATTATTAAATAAACTATTTTTATACCACCTTTGGATTTTGATACCAAGATTGTACATATCAATTTTTCCTTCCTGTAATAATTTTGAAGTATTAATTATGGTTTCTATAATAAGTTGTTAATAAAAACTTATTTTATAATTACATCTGTTAAATCATTCATTTTGAACGGTTGCATTTCAAATGGTTTTTTCAATCTATTATTTTTATTAAATGAATCAAATTCTTTCTGATCTGGAGGAGATTGTTTTCCATTGCGAAATATCTGAAAAGTAGGTTAATTTTCTAATGAAGTATATTCAGTTTAATTCATTTTAATTTTTATATTTAATTATATTATATTTATACTTTTTAGACATTCATCTATTCATTCTATTTAGACAAATATATTTGCTATAAAAAGAACATAAAATTTATGAAAAATTAAAGCAATTACGTTGTGTATTTAAGGGAGAGTTTTATAATCAAAAGCAATATTTTTGTGTATAAATAAATTAATCTGAACCTCTAAAATATTTGATAAATAAATAATTAAATTTATAATACATTTTTTAAGTATAACCAATAAATCAATGTGAAATTATTTTTACCACTTTGGCCATCAATAATGTAGAATTTTCTGCTCCCTGACTCGTTAAAATATTTATGCCTAATATTTCTAGACAACAGAAAAATATTAATTTGGATTTCATTTTCCAAAGGTTTCACAGATATTATATTATATTATTTTCACAAAGATATTATTATATATTAATTATAAAAGTATTTTCGAAAATTGTGCATTTATGCAATACCAAATATGTAAACAACTAAGTATTTCCAAAAAAATACCGAAGCAAAAAGTATTATCAATTTTTATTATTGCTGTTGAAATAGTAGCATTGTGTATACATAAATATTACAAAATTTGTTGTTTTTTATTTTGACGATTTTTAACACTAAATATTTGATGATACCTTGTATTTTTTTAATTAAACCAAAAATGTTTGATATTTTAAAATTTTTACATTATATTTTCATAATTGATATTATACCTACTTTAATAATATAATATTAAATTGAAATAATGTCATAATATGATAAAACCGACTGTTGAAAAATCATGTAAATTAATTTCCCATTGTTTTTTCAAACGTGGCGGCATGTTCGAGCCTCACAAATAATTTCTTATAACTAGCTTAGTACCTATACTAGGGTAGGAAATTATTTTATTATGTCAGTTAGAGGAAGATGTATTAAAAAAATTTGCGAGGCTCGAACACCGACTATTAGGCAAAAAGTAGATCTTTAATCTTTAAAATAATTGCAAGTAAGACACTTTATCTATTTTGAAAATGCTATCAATACTAATCTCGTAGCAAGCACTTTGGTCAGCTTGATATCAAGCAATAGTGATGCCAGATATTCACTTTAGTTTATAGATCTTAAATATGACATCAAGTGAAAATAACTTTTTAGTTACATCTTTTGAAAATTTCTTAGCTTTTGAGAAAATAAAATTATATAGGGCCATGTAAGACGATATATTTTTAAAAAATTATATATAGGACCATATATGTGGGATATAAAGAATAGTCTTATGAAGTTATTTGTTCTGATATTATCGTGGAGATTGGCATGTTAAATTTAAATCCACATAGTAAATATCGAAAAAATTTTTTGCAACATATTTTTATTTTATATTTATATAACAGTGAAAAATGTTTCAAAATTATTCAAACTTCACTTTTTACAATATACGCTATTTTGCAATTTGTCTTTTGTTATTGCAGTATTTTTCAACATATTTTTGAACATTTCAAAAGTACATTCCCCATTACTGCATTCAGCATATTTTATTTGTTTTGGTTCATCTGCATCAGGATTCCACAGAAACACCTGACAGGGCAAAAATTAAAATTTAATACCAAATTTTAAGGGCTCAAATTATTAATTACAGTAAATTTTCTAAAACACTTTAGTGTGATATAATTTTTCCTACACTTACTTTTACATAATATTCATTATTTTTCTTATGAAGTTCTGCTATCAAAGCAGTTCCATGTTTTACGACTCCGATATCAATAGTTCTGTCGCAAATACTGGTTTTTGAATTTGTTAGAGCTGATATTGCTGTAGCCACTATTATTTCTTGAGCACATAATAATTGAAGTACATTTTGATTATTATTATTTGACATCTTTTTCTCAAATTCTTCTAAAATTAAATTGGCGAATACTCCTCCTGAAGGAAAAAATCAGTGGGTTAAAACATTTCATGGAAACAAAATTATAAATAGATTCTTGAATATACACAAAATACATTTGACATACTTTGGTAACAAAAGCCTTGTAAATTAATATTTTATTTATTTGACATATTTTAGATACTTTTGATCGAAACTTTCGTAAAACCTTCGGAGAATGATTAAAGGTTTCTTACTCGATGGTGCAATTTTTATCTGTACTGCGTTTTTATATCAAATACTCTTAACTTTTCTATTTCTATACCAGATTTATGTACTCTTTTCTAATCTTCTATACTATTATTAGATACTATTATTTAAAAAAAATTAAAATCATAAATCTTACCACCAGATGTATACTTAATAAAATCCCATTTAAGAAACTCTTTCATAAATAATTTGTTGCTCTCTTCCATATCAAACATCATATTTTCAGTCAACCAATCTGGTAATAGAGTTTTTTCAAATCTCTAAAATAATTAACTATTATACATTTTATTTATTATTACTCGATATTTATTATATATTTTTAGAACTTTTCTAAGTATCAAATATTCATGTAAGAAATTTTAAGAAGTCATAAATAAAACATTTATACAATTTTCAAATGTGTCTGTTCCAAATGATACATGTAATATATTTAGGATTTGATGAATTTGATACGAAAGTACACCTTAAAAACTTAATAATTTTTGATTGAACTATTATTTTCTAAGTAAGTAACTAATTTTTTTTTACCTTTGCTTGAAAATATTCATATATTTTCCAAATATGTTGGGCTTTGATCGGGTGAGGATCAGGAGAGTTACTTGCAATTGGACCTTTTGGATAAAGATTTATTTTCAGCTCCTCTACTAATTTGTTTCTTGTGCTTTGAACAAATCTAAAATCAATTGGTTTATATGGAACACCATTCATTCTGCTTTTAGCCTTGCATTTATCATTTTTATAAAAGTAAGTCAACTGCAATGTAAATAAATATTAGCCTGATTTTGACTACTTTTAATACATTTAATGATTTTTTACCAACTCATCAGACGATGTTTTTTCAACAGTAGATTGTGGATTTTTTCTGTTAAAGCTCTGAAAACATCATCAAAATTTCATTATAATAATAATTATTGTAATTAGTTTTACTATTATTATGCTTACATTTTTAAATACTCCATCTCTGACATATTTTGCACTTTCTTGACATTCTTCGTTAGATGTTGACTCAATTTTTATTTTTGCTTCTGCCGGTTTATGTTTATTGAATAATTTTCCTTTATACCACCTTCTTATTTTTGCTCCGAAATTATACATATCAATTTTTCCTTCCTATTTAAAAAATCTATAATTTACCCAAAGATTTACATTTTACGTTAAATGCTATTTTTAAAATTTATATTTACTTCTTTTAATCCCGTCGTGTTAAATGGCTCTATATCAAAAGTGTATCTTTCATGAAGAAATTTTTAAGATTATCTTCAGTTGGAGGAAGCTCTTGCCCATTTCTAAATATCTTGGAAGAAATGATAAGAATATTTTTGTTAATTTTATTCTTACCCGCACATACAATTTTAATAATTATAAAATTAATTCAGATCGAATTGATCATGAAATTTGAAGGAAAAATTTGTAGACATTAATTACTCGATAAAATATTTAAATTTTTTTACCACTTTTGCCATTAACAATTGACTGTCTGAGCTACTCGAACATTTTATAGTTCTTAAACCTAAAAATTCCAAATAAAAAACTGCAAATAAAATGAATTTCATAGTAAACTTGTTTTTCTACACTATACTGAATAACTTATAATTTATTGTCCAAAATTAATATTGCGAACTAATATAAAAGTGATTGCAAAATATTTACAGTGAAGAAATGTTCTGTAAACATGCATAAATATTTATTATTTATACCTAAAAAAAATATTTTAGTAAACATCATCTTTTATAAGTCTTCCTTTATCATAAACACTAAAATCAACTTATTTATTATGATACCATATTTATCTGAAAATAATTTTATTATACTAAATTTTATATCATAGTAGAACTGTACTTTTATTGCTTTTATTACTTTCTTTAATTTTGGTTTAATACTTTTTGTTTCTCATAACATGATAGTAAATTGTCATTAAGGGGCACAACTAGTGTAACCGCCTAAAAAAAGGTGATTTTTGGAAATTTATATTAAAAAAAACTACTTTATCAATCATTTCAAAATTTGAATATATTGAAAATTAGTACTAGTGTTTGCAAAATACTAATATATTGAAATTGATGAGTATTATTATTTGAAATAACTATATTTCGATTCTTTTTTTCGCAAAATACTAATATATTGAAATGGATGAGTATTATTATTTAAAATGATCATACTTCGATTATTGAATATGTTTTTGTAAAACATTTTGGTACTTTAAAAGCCGTTTCATTTTACATAAGAGAAATAAATAAACATCTTTATTTATTAGTGTGGTCATATTCATTTTGGGTTTTTGAGCAATAACTTCTGAGACTAATGACCCTTCGGGATCATTTTTGACACCCTTTTGAAAAATTATGATCACCTATAGAGACTATTGTTTTGCATTTGGCAATGAGTGGTGTTAATAGATTACGCTGTCGATTCTTTTTGAGTACTATCGACGAAAAAATCGATATTGGCAAATAGATCGAGCTAAAAAATCGATACCAAAAGTACTCACTATCGACCGCAAAGTATCGATATTTACTCAGTACTCGATATTTTGTTCTAACACTAGTTGTGCCCCTTAAAAAATAATACTAATTGAATTTGATCTGCATTTAATATTTTACATCCTCCAATAATATAAATATTAGCATTTTTGTGAAATAAAAGAGTAGAATATATAAATTGTAATATTATTTTATTGAAATCCTACAAGTTTTACTTTTTCTCGCCTCTACGTTAGGTCTAGGAGTACCCTTTTTACAAGCACTTTGATTCCAAACGTTTTTTACTTTTTTGACTTTAGGAATAGTTTTCATCACGTCAACACCAGCTTTTGCTTTCTTATTTTGTGAACTTTGAGAACATTCGATAAGTTGTTCTTTGTTTATTCTAACTGGTTCCACTAATTTTATGTAATCGTTCAGGTACAATTTATCATCTGGGCTATCTTTTAACTTCAACTCTGTCGGCTCGCAATCTTCTTTACCATTTAGATAAAACACCTGATAATAGATAGTTGGAGATTAACAAACTTGTTAAACAATAATAAAAATAATAATTGCCAGTAGGGAATGCAATACCGATGGAAAATTTCAATACCGGTATTTCGATAATTTTTCATTTTAAAACCGGAATACCGGTAAATTACCGGTATTTTTATTATCTTAAACAAACGTAAACAAAATTGAAAGT